TTAGGAAATAGTTTCTCTCTTTAGTATAAATATTTCTTTCTTTAATATGATTATTAAATTACATTAATTATAATTTTAATATAAATCATACATAATATAATTTATTTCCTATAATGACAAGGTCTCTTTCTTTAATACCAGTACAGCTTTTCATGAAAGGACAAGAAACACTGTTGAATTTATTTTATATTTTATATTATTTTATATTTCAAATTTAGTCACTGCCCATCTCACTCAAGAGTGACTCTGGGCAGTTTTCCCTCTCATGTTTTCAGTTTATAGCTTTTTCGTTCTCCGATGAGATTGGGGAGGACTATTCCGTTTTATTTTCCTAACAACCCTCTTTGGTAGCCAAAGCAAAGGTCACATTGGACTCAACACTCCATGCATTTTATGACCAACCAGGATTTGAACCTCGATCTTCCTGCTCTGCCCTTAATAAAGACAAAGAGGGTGGTTTCACCATCCCGGTTCATTTTACCTCTGCAAACAGCTGCCCAGCTGCCACAGCCACCAACATAGAGGGATGTATGGTAGGGTGTCACTGATGCTTCGATGGGCACCATGCAACTTCCCACGTTCCTGCCCCAGACAGGTAGCTGCGTGGTGTCCACACCTTGAGTCCCTTTCAAAGACCTGGGGAAGCAGCAGCATGGCTGCAAACCAGGGCAGTCAGCAGTCAAAGGCAGATGGAGAGGTAACCCTTTCTATGCCTGCTTTAAAAGGCAGGAGAAATCACAACTGCCAACCTGGATTGTTTCTACCTGTAAGGAAATGTGCTTAGCACCTATCCTAGAGCAAGGGCAGTTAGTTAGGGGCACATTTCAGCTCTCAAGGGAAAGCAGTCCCAACTTGAGGTCTAGCAACAGAAACTTAATAGCCAGTAAGCAAAAGCAATCAAAACAGCCACCCGGTCCCTTCTCTGCACCCAGTCCTATGGCAACTAGCGCCCGACAAGACGCCGTTCAACTGTTGGGCAAGAGGATGATGGCTACCAGCAGAACTGACAGAGCAAGTAAAAAGAAGTCACTTGGACTTTATCATGGCATTTCTCTTTTGAAATTGCCTAACTTCCAGCTTTATGGAGGCTTGTCAAAGGTACAATTTTGTTTATGTTTGTAATTGCCTTAATTACTATTGCATTTTGTAAGACACCCAGAGTCTACTGGGATGGGTGGCCATATGACATCTGAATAATAAAAATAATAATCACTTGCTCTGCTGTTTTTCAGCAACAGTAAGCAAAAGCGGAGGAAAGGAACCCAAATGCAGATGGTCCACTAACTCCAGGTGATGGAGAGGATGGGAGGAGAAAGGTCCTCCAACCTCCATGGTGGACCTTGCTGAATGTTCTGAAAACGCGCATTGCAACTCCAATGCTCTTCTGGCCCTTCCGCCATGGAGGAAACACCCCTCTCTGGAAAAGCGCACCTCCGGAGCCACCCTGGAGCCCAAGGCAACACTCAGATTTCCAATGGGCAATTTCCCTTCCAGCAGGAGCCTCCATCATCCCTTAAGAGAGCCGCACCTGCCACCCTCTGGAGGAGTCGGGACTGCAACTCCCAGAATTCCATTTCCTGCCCACGCCGGTGGGAATTCGGAAAAGTTGCGGTCCCAGGATTGACCTGGAGGGATCCCGGTCTACGTTGGAGAGGTTACTGTATCTTCTTCTCGGAAGTCGGAGGCGCTCATCCCCACGACGTGGGCGCCCCCGCAGAACTGCGAACTGCTTGCAGCGCGGAGGCCTCCCCGGGGCCAGAAGGGCCGACGGGGCTC